AATTATACCGTGTCGGAACGTGACACTCCGATCCAATAGTATCATTAATTTATCATTTATTATCACCACTTTTCAATTAATTAACAATATTTCATCAAGCCTTCTTTATTCAAGGCATCATTTCGATAGATAGGGTTCAAGATTATAAATTCCACGGTCTCAGGATTCCAGACCAATCACAAACCACACAACCAAGCTACACAAACACACAATCAAGTACATAGAGAACTTCACTGTAACACCCCGACTTTCCGAAACGTCTAAATTAACTCGTATCTTCGTGGAAAGACAAAGAGGGTGAGTAATAAGTTAAAAATGATGTGGTATGTCATATTTTAGGTGTTCAAGGGTTGTATCTCAAGTTTTGAAGTTAAGTAAGTGGCAAAATAAAAGTTGACGAAAGTTATTGTAAGTTCCTTTTTAAAGATTTGTCTAAAATTTGGGTCAAATGTCTTTGATGTTTTCTCCCAATATATAAAGAGTTAGAAGGCCTATCACCCATTAAATCGAAGGCCTGCGAGTCTAGTTTTCAACGCACAAAACCCCGTATCAAACGACATCAGAGCAAAAACTTATGAGGGTTTTACTAGGTACTGCCGGGGCATAATCCGGATCGGATCCGGGTCGGGTCAAAAATATGGTATGTCGGCTTATTTAACGTTTTAAGCCATGAAAACATTCCATTTCAGTTCCAAACCAGAGAGAGAGCTTACGAGAGAGTTCCTATGGAGTTCTAGCATGATGAAGGTTAGTTTTTGACGATTTCTACCATTAAACATTGCCCCCGTGCCTAGAAACGTAATCCCTACACGTGGCAATCGTTTTTCCCTTCTATTAGCTGCGTTTGGAGCTGGTTTTTGAAGATATAAATTTGTAGTTATTGGTGTTTCTTCAAGGTTTACACTTGGTTAAATAAGGTAATCATTTCGGGACCCTTTTATGGTTGTTTTTATGAATTTCTATGGACGTTTCGACAAGTTGGGGTAATATGGCAAATCTGCCGATTTGAGATTAATTATGAACTGTTATAGATGATCAACAAATTTAATTATTAATAAAGGGATAATTTCAGAGACCTCCCTCTAGGTTTCGCTCTATAACACTCATCTCCCATGTGGTTTACGATATTACGTCTACCTCCCTTTATTTTCATTTTCTTGTAACCATTCTTTAAACCTATTTAAAATAAATATAAATTAATTTAGATTTGATAATTTTACCCTTCTATATGCAAGCTTAGATCTAATTTTCAACGATTTATCTCTATTTCTTGGATCATTTTTCTTCTTCGCTCGTGGAAATGTTTAACTAGAACAAAATCTGATCGTTGAATTTCTCTCTTGGAGAGTTCATTTTTATCTTCGATTTGAAGAAATTGTTGCCGGAAAATGATGGGTTATTGTGGGGGAAAAAATCATCAGTGAATTGGTAAAGGTAAAATGGAGATGAAGAGTTAACATTTGGTGAAAATGGTGGGTCAGCTTGAATAAAGACTTTGATCTTTGTTTGATAAAAAACACACATATATATAATAGTATTAATGTATTTGTGCTGATTTATTTTTAAAGTATTTGTTAAATGAGTTATTTTTATATAACATTTATTAATATGAAGAAATTAATAAGGGTAAAATTGTCAAATCTAAATTAATTTATATTTATTTTAAATAGGTTTAAAGAATGGTTACAAGAAAATGAAAATAAGGGAGGTAGATGTAATATCGTAAATCACAGGGGAGGTGAGTGTTATAGAACGAAACCTGGAGGGAGGTCTTTGAAATTATCCCTTTAATAAATTAATAATTAAGTAATACTATAGGGTCAAAACGGTAAATCAACTTTGGGTTAAACTCTTCCCACTTATAGTAATATATGATGATACGATGATTGAAACTAATTGTTAAATATGTTTAGGAAAAAAATCTCTTTAATTTATATTTTCAATGTTTAAAGAGTTCACATGATTTTGTAACCTTCTATATTTCGGCATGTAATTTATTTTCTACTCATATTATGTTTTATTCCTATGGAACATTATTTTACTAATTATTATAAAGAAATAAATATCATGCTACTAATTCAACTATTTTATGATAGTTTTTATCATGTCGAATTTGTCAAAGTTTTAATTTATGATGACTTCTAAAAACTCAATCTGCCTTAGTATATATGTTAATAAAATCAAATGGTTGTTGTAATTCTTATTCCCCATTCCTAAGCCCTACTGTAATTCTTATGTTGTTTGTGATGTTGATAGGAGTATTTATGTGGAGGATATGGAATGTTATGCTCAGATGCGATACGATAAAAACATATACGAATAAAAGTGAGGAAAATCATAGAAGGTCAAACTCACAGAAAAATAGGCTGAAGATGTAACTTGTAGTAATTTGTAAGTTACAGTCTTAGCTAATACTTAGGACGAACCTCAAATAAAATAAGAAGCGAGTTTCTACAAGAAGATAACTTTGATGAAGCAAAGATAGTGGAAGTATTGCTAGACAAGTTTGAAATTTCTTTGGGGACAATTGTGAAATACATCAAAGTGAAATATGAGCACCTCAAGCAAAATGCAATGAGAATTGAGATGGTGGATTGCCAAGGACAACAATGAAGTTCATGATTTCATTCTTCAATATTTGCCAACAAGATGCACAATCAGATTTGAAAATAGAAAAATGTAGTTATCCAACAAGTGAATAATATTATTTCTATGTCTATTAAATGTCATTTCACTAATTTCCTTTTTCTTCTACTTCAATACAGGACGATTGAAAAGCTGACTAATATTGAGTAAATTTGGCAAGCTCTCTGGATAGGAAATTACAACTGCAAGCACATTCTTAGGGAAGGTAATTGGACTAACTGCTGTTATATTGGCTAATATAGGTGAGGAATCAAAAGAGTATACTATCTACAATGAAGTTAGAATAAAATGGTATTTCCCATTTCAGATTCAGAACTAAAAAGAAGATGTTTGGCTACACAATGAAAATTGACAAACATGCCTTTTTGGTGGTTTCTGCACTGGCTAGTCTTCCTAAATGTCGTACATGATAGTATAGCTGCTTCAGAAGTCAGTTTTTAATGTATAAAGGGATCATATTACATAATTTCAATATTCACATTGATATGGAGGCTAAGATTTATGTTCTCCTCTCCTCTGTGTAATTATTGATTTTTGATAAATATACATGTTGAAATCAAAACTGAACTCCTTTATAGAATGGCTATTTATTTACTTAAAAAAAAAATTAATAGCCTTTTTCTAAGTGTGCATTTAAAAAAAGTTTTTGGAAGAATATACATGCTTCTAGAGTATATGAGAAATATTTTTCAATAGCTAAGAAAAGTAATTTCTCCAAAAAGTAGGTTTTTGAAAAGCACTTCTTGAAAAAAAATAATACACTAACGGGCCGTTTGGTTACTGGTTAGAGTTATGCATGTATTAGTTATACATAGTTTAGTTATACATAATTTAGTTATGCAGAGTTTAGTTATGCAGGTATTAGTTATGCAAGGTTTAGTTATGCAGGGTTTAGTTATGCAGGTATTAGTTATGCAGGGCTTAGTTATGCTAAGTTTAATTATGCGGGTATTAGCCATGCGGATATTAGTTATGTAGGTATTATTTAGTTATGTAGAGATTACAATACATGAATTATTAACTATTATATTAAACTTGTTGTAAATTATTAATATATATTATTTACAAAATAATAATACATGCTAATAAAATGTGGAATATATTGAATAATATACAATGCTAATATATTATTTTTTAATCAACATTGGACCATGTCCATAATATTCATCAAATAAAAATGTGTCCAAACAAGGTCCAAGAGTGACCAAGTCAGTCAACAAAATAGACAAAACAAAAACAACTAAACTGAAAAATAATCTAATTTGGAAACAAAAAAAATCCTTAACTGATAGAACAACCCCAACATAATGCTAATATTTGATTAGCATATGTACCGTCAAAAAATATACAATCAAATTTCTAATATTAAAAAAATATTTCTATTTGCATAAATAAATAAAAACGGTAAGTATATAAAATAATTATATAGGAAACAATAAAGTTTCCAATAAAAAAAATAAAAAAAATTAAAAGAAATGAAAATGATCTATATATAAAAAGAAATAAAAACAACAAACGTATATAGGAAACAATAAAGTTTCCAATAAAAAAAATAAAAAAAATTAAAAGAAATGAAAATGATCTATATATAAAAAGAAATAAAAACAACAAACGTATATAGAAACAGTAAAGTTTCCAATTAAAAAATAAATAAAAAATTAATAGGGTAAATATGTAATTTATCATTTTAATATATATATATAACTAATACCTACATAACTTATTACACCTTCTACCCTGTATAACTTTATACATAGATTCCCTCATAAATTATGTTGGTATTAATTATGTAGGACTACAAAAAATGCAACCAAACACCGTATAAATTAATACATGAATAACTTTTATACAACATTTAAATTCTTACCAACCAAACATGGTATAAGTTATGTTGACTTTTATACCTAATACAAAACTTCTACCAAACACAGTAAAACTAATGCAACTTTTTATACATGAATAAGATGTCTCTTATACAGTAACCAAACGACCCCTAAGAGACTTTTAAATAGTTTAGGCAAACACTAATTGCTAACTCAAAGTACTTTTTAAATTTATTCACCAAACACAGATGGCTTCTCACCACAAATACTTTTTTGAAACAACACAATTTCAAAATAAGCAAATTTTAGAAGTTTGGACAAACACGCTATCAATAGACCATCTTGGTTTCTTAACTTTCTTTTCAACATTTGGTTGCCTTCCTGAAGGCACTTGGATTGATAAGTTAACAAGGCAAATATACTACAAAGGTCTACAATGGCCCTTGTTTCATTTAGTTCATACAAATTCTAAAGGAGTTTGAAGATGCTTTAGAAATATGAGCTTGCTCTGAAAAGTCATAATGACATTACAGAAACCATAAAGCTAGTAACTCCATACTTCAGCTGTACAAGCAGTTCTGCATCATGAATCCCATTCCATATGTCGTCTCGGACAGTACGCAGGAAAAAGTGTACCTCCTCCCACTGCACGAAGAGTCAAGTTGCTATCTCTTCCTGCGCTTCAACTCCACCTAGTCATTGAATCAGAGACGGCTTAGCTAAAATGTTTACAAGCGACAGACAAATTGGATTTTAAGATTCATAAAAGACTATATTTCAAGTAGTTCTCCCTCAAAACACACAGAAATATGTACAAGCATATTACGAGTCTGAATACTCATCAGCACGTCAGAAATAAGACACATTTGAATAAATATGACAACTTGTTTTCGTTCAGCCAGATTACTGAACCAATCTAACAGCCAACCTGCGTGACAAACCCAACTACCAAACAATGACCCTCTTATTTTCCATCAATTTCTGTTATCCAACATCCACTTGCCATAGGCAGGGAAGAGGTTTCAATCAGAGTCAGTCTATCATATGACAACTAAAATTCCCCAACTCAACCCCTTTGTTTTCTTCCCATCAACAGCCATTCATCCACTACCTACAACACCTCAGCCATTTCCAGCAATTCTCTCTCCTTTTGACTTAATTTTTTATTAAATGTTCAATGTCACATCAAAAGTAACACATGACACCACAATAACTAAAGATTCTAGCACAAGTACACAAAAAATTCAGCTGGTACAGAAACCCAATGGTACTTGATACCATAAAAATAGGGATACCTGCACCTTATCATGGGCTGCTTCTAAGTAAGCAATTACACACTGCTTGTCCCAAATCAATTTTCCTGGATTGTTTTGAAATACATCCACTTCCCTAGACAGAAACTTCTTCCAACACTATACAATAAGACAACACACATCCAGTGTTATTATTGAAGTTCAGATTCATCAAAGAGTTATTATTATCTTCATTTTACCGTTTGTTTACATAAAACGATACTTCATCTCATGCATTATTATCCAATTTGTAGGTTGGATAAGTCAAACTACGATACTTAAATGGGACTGAGGAAGTATTGTTAATGTTTGTTAAAGATTTTAACTTTGAGGTGAATCAACAGCAAACCATTGTAATCCCATAGGTATCTGGGAAAGTTGGAGTGTACGCAATCCTTACTCCTACCTTTGAGAACATAAGAGTCATAGAGAGGTTGTTTCAAATAAACCCTCAACTCCTGACTGAACGAATAGTGGACAAAAAGGCAGTAGCAACAAGCAAAAACAACAACAAGATCAAAAGATATTGCTCTAGAAACCCCGTGATAGCTAACTGGCCCTGGAAACTCATTTGGAGGACCAAGCTACCACCTAAGATAGTTTTTTTTACCTGGATAGCTCTATATGAGGCATGTCTCACCCAAGACAACATAAAGAAAAGAAAAATCCAATTCCCAAACAGATGCTATATGTGCAAAAAAGAGGCTGAAACCCCCAGACACCTTCTTCTTCATTGTGAGGTGGCCTCAGAATTATGGAGCATGTTTTTTTGTCTCTCTGGCATTTGGACCACACCCCTCACTGTTAAGGATGCATATGAGAGTTGGAGTCTATGGAAAGTTGACAAAGCCATCAAGAAGATCTGGATTATGATACCTGCTTGTATTTTTTGGAGTATTTGGTTGGAGAGGAACAAGAGATGTTTTGATGGAGAGTCAACTGCTTTAGGCATTTTGAAGACTAGGTGCACTGAAAATTTGTTTAGTTGGACCAACTTGTATCCTGCTGTTAATGCAGAACAACTTCAGGATTTTACTAACTCATTAGCTCTGGCTTAGATAGTTTGTATAGTTAGCCAGAGATTTTTTTGTAAGCTCAAATGCCATATCTTGTAAATTTTGCATCTTCTTGATGCTGTTATTAATACCACTTATCTTATCAAAAAAAAGA